ATCTGCTTCTATTCCACGGTTGGTTACTAAGAAGCCTAGAAACTTGTTTGATCCCACGCCAAATGCACACTTGGACACGTTTAGCCGTAGCTTGTCAGTCTTTAAGATTTGAAATATCTCAGCAAGGTCGTTAAGATAGTCTAACTCATTCTTACTCTTGATCACCATATCATCGATGTAAGCCTCCATTGTTCTTCCTAACAATGGCGCAAACATCTTGGTGACCATTTGTTGAAATGTCCCTGCATTTTTTAGACCAAAGGACATGGCCTTATAAAAATACAACCCCCTTGGCATTGTGAAGGACGTGATCTCTTGGTCTGATTCATACATAGCGATCTGATGATATCCACGATATACATCAAGAAAGCTAAATCGGTTGCGACCTGCAGTTAGGTCCACCAGCTAATCAATCATTGGCAAAGGAAAGTTATCCTTTGGGCACGCTTTGTTGACCGTTTTATAGTCCACGCAAACGCACCATTTGTCGTTTTTTTTTGGGCACCACCACAGTGTTTGAAATCCACTTTGGATAATGGATCTCTCTAATTGCCCATGCTTCTTGCAAGTCCCCCACCTCTTCTGCTACTACTTCAGCATGATGTAAGACCAATCTGAGAGATCTTTGTATAACCAGTCTGGCAGTGGGGTTGACATTGAGCTGATGACAGATGAAGTTTGGATCAATGCCAAGCATGTCGTGTGGCATCTAGGCAAACACTTCAAGATTAGAGATCAAAAAATCCATCATCTCCTTTCTCTCAATGTTGGAGAAAGATGAGCCAACCAAAAAGAACTTCGCTGGGTCGTTCTCATTAATTCTCACTTCCACCAGATCTTCCACAGCCTTCTGTTTGGCTGCCTTGCCGGTGTCTATAAATATCTCATTGCTTTCCGGTTCCTCTACCATCTGCACCAATCATTTCGTAGCATGGCTGCCATTCACCATCATGAAGCACTGTTTGGACATGATTTGGTCTCCCAAGACCTCCTCAATTACCCTAGCTTCATTTGGGAACCGAATTACTTGATGGTAGGTTGACGCTACTGCTCGCATGGCGTGCAACCATACTTTCCCAAGAATGATGTTATAAGTGGATGTGACTTTCAAAACCTAAAAATCCACATGTTTGACCATCGAACCGACTTTGATTAGCAAAATAATCTTGCCAACTAGCCATTCAGGCATAGAGTTAAAACCTACCAAGGATGAGGTGGCAGGTGCCAGGTTTTTATCCTCCAACTTCAACTATTTGAAAGTCTCATAATACATTATCTCGCACGAACTCTCTTGGTCAATCAAGATCCTCTTGATGTCAAAATTCTGGACGCACAAGGTGACTACTAGCGCGCTATTATGGGGGTTTTGCAGCCTTGCTAGGTCTCTATCAGAGAAAGAGAGTACATATTTTGCTTCTATCATTTCCTTCTTCACCATCGGTTGAACACTTAGCACCTCCCTCATTTGCTCTGCCTTTTTTATCATCTCTCTAAGCTCACAGACTCACTCAGGCTCGATGATCCCATAGATAACATTAATCACACCTTGAAGGGGACTGTCATCTGGCATTCCATCTAGCACGTTTTGGTCTTGGAGGGCTAGTCATGCTCCCCCTTCAATGTATCAGTGCAAGTGGCCTGCAGTCATTAATTCTTCCAAGTGCTGTTTCAATGGCGTGAAATCTTCAATTTGGTGCCCTACTTAATCGTGGAAGGTGCACCAACATCTCTCGTCATAGCCCCTCTGCGCTTCTCCCAATTTGGCAGGCCGCCGAACAAAGGTTTCATTGCGTATTTCGCAAAGTATTCGGTAAATCGGCTTCTTGAAAACCATCGTACCTCTTTGCTTTGGCATCCTCATCATTCGATGAACCGCTGTGATTGTTGTTGTTTGTTCGGCTTTTCTATCCAACCGTGTTTACCTTGGCTGAAGTCTTTTTGTCCGACATTGCTATTATGCTGGACTTTGCCTTGGCACAGACGCCATCCTTCTCCACCCTTATGTGTTGGTGGACTGTCTCCATTAAAGGCCTCCATGGTAAGGGGTGGAGTCATTGTCATGGAATCTCTCAGTCTATGCCCAACAGGCAATCGCTTGTACTGTGCGATAACTAGGTTGGTTGGACATTCACCAATCTGATTGAAGGTCTCCCAGTACCTGTTGTTGTAGGACTTCAATATTTCCTTCTCATCCATGTAAATGGCGAGCAGTTTATCGATCTCCATAGGCGTTTTGGTATTTGTTTTGAACCTGGTAACAAACGCCTTAGCAAGCTATGCCCAGGAAGCAATGTTGCCCTCTTGCAATCTCTTAAACCAACGCAAGCCCAATTCCCCCAGACTTGATGGAAATAGGATGCACATCAAGGCCTTATTCTGCCTATGTATAGCCATTACTTGTTGAAAGCGGCTAAAGTGCATGTACGGATCTGACTTCCTGTCATAGATCGTAAACTTAGGTGTAGACACCCCATTTTTGACTGTCCTCAAGACTTGGACGTCACCGTTTGAACTGTGCGATAACTAGGTTGGTTGGACATTCACCAATCTGATTGAAGGTCTCCCAGTACCTGTTGTTGTAGGACTTCAATATTTCCTTCTCATCCATGTAAATGGCGAGCAGTTTATCGATCTCCACAGGCATTTTGGTATTTGTTTTGAACCTGGTAACAAACACCTTAGCAAGCTACGCCCAGGAAGCAATGTTGCCCTCTTGCAATCTCTTAAACCAACGCAAGCCCAATTCCCCCAGACTTGATGGAAATAGGATGCACATCAAGGCCTCATTCTGCCTATGTATAGCCATTACTGGTTGAAAGCGGCTAAGGTGCATGTACGGATCTGACTTCCTGTCATAGATCATAAACTTAGGCTAGTTAAAGCCTAAAGGCAGTGATGTGTTCTCTATCACTGGAACAAACAGTGACCTCTGCAATCTTGCCAGTGCTCTGTCTGCTGGCTCATAGGCGAGGTGCGGCATTGGCATTGCAATTGAAATTTTGAAAACATAACATGCATGTAATGATATGAGCTTCAACCTTCCAGAACATGATCAATTGAGATGTTTGGTACAAAAACATGTTGAATTCTTAAAACATAGACAAGGTATGGTCATGCATGTTAAAATTCTCTTAAAACAACTTCAAAACTCCAAGATATGTACATGTATGCATGTATTAGCTTCCAATTCTCCTATGGAAACTTAATTCTCTTAAATTCATGTGTTAAGTGACTCATTTACAAAACTCATGGCTTGAATTCTTACCTTAAGTGTTCAATTGGGCTCTAAATAATCAATTCTTAGAGTCTCCAAGCTAATTCCTCCAAATTTCCTAGCCAAACTCCCTTCTGTAACTTTGATCTCAATTTTCTCTCTCTCTCTCTCTCTCTCTCTCTCTCTCTCTCTCTCTCTCTCTTTCTCTCTCTCTCTCTCTCTCTTCCGTGTATGAGCTCAAAGAAATGAAGAGAAAATGTTGTTGAGTCACCATTGGCCTTATATAGGCCTAATTACAAAGCCTTAATTAATTCTTAATTAAGTTAAGAAATTATAATTACTTTATTCTAATTATTTGATTTCGAATTGAATTTCAATTAAACCTACCATAAAATTCTAAAAATTTTAAATAACACATAAATGGAGTCAATTTCGCATTCGGACGCTAATAAGGCTTTTAATTCACATAATGAAACAAAAACATAGACAGATATTCATACTATGGACAGATACAAACACAATTCACACAATACTCATGCAATTAGTCTAGAATTTCCTCTTAATTACTTATTAGGCATCCTTAATTAGATATTACAGGCTAATCATAGGTGGGGGTTGTTACAGTCTTCCCCCTTTAAAGAGTTTGGTCCTCCAAACCCGAGTTACCTTCATTTTGAAAGAATATCGGGTCCAAATGGAACAAGTCAGGGTATCTCTTCCTCATGTCTTCTTCGGTCTCCCAAGTCACATACGTCCCACCATGATTTTTCCAATTAACCTTCACTAATGGAATTTCTTTATTTCTCAATCTCTTGATTCTACGGTTTACAATATGGATTGGTCGTTCTTCATATGTATAGTCATCCTTTAGAAGCACTTGAGTTGGTTCAATAACATAATGTGGATCCCACAAATATTCCCGAAGTATAGAGATATAAAACACATTGTGCATTTGCTCCATAACCGAAGGTAGAGCCGCTTGGTAAATCACAGGATTGATTGTCTCAATAATTTCATATGGACCAATATATCACGGTGCCAATTTTTTAACCCTAAATCGTGTCTAGCCTTTCATAAAAGTTACTTTGATGAATACATGGCAGCATAGTTCATATTATCTATCTCTTCTCCGAGCATCTGCATAACTCTTTTGGCGACTTTGGGCGGTTTTCAAACATTGTTGAATCAATTTCACCTTCTCAGTTGTTTCTTGCATGAGTTCTGGTCCTAATAACGGTCTATCGCCTACTTTAGCCTAACAAATCAGGGATCGACATTTCCTTCCGTATAAAGCTTCATAAGGAGCCATCCCAATGCTTGAATGATAGCTATTACTATACGCAAATTCGGCTAGTGGCAGATAGGTTTCCCAACTTCCTTGGAAATCTAACACACATATTCTGAGCATATCTTTCAACGTTTGAATGGTTCGTTCTGATTGGCCATCTGTTTGTGGATGATAAGCACTACTAAATCTTAGTTCAATTCCCAAAGCCTGTTGCAAACTCTGCCAAAATCTTGAAGTAAACTTTGAATCTCTATCAGATACAATGGATACTGGTACTCCGTGCAATCTCACAATCTCATTCACATAAATGTTAGCCAATTTATTTGCATTATAAAAAGTTTTCGTAGGTAAAAAGTGAGTAGACTTAGTTAAACGATCAACAATAACTCAACTAGAATCTATACCTCGAGAGGAGCAAGGTAATCCAACAATGAAGTCCATCGTAATATGCTCTCATTTCCATTAAAGTATTGGAAGCGGTTGAAGTAATCTGGCGAGTCATTGATGTTCGGCTTTCACTTGTTGGTAATACAAATATCTAGCTACAAAATCTGCAATACAATTTTTCATTCTAGGCCACCAAAAATTATGTTTCAAATCTTTGTACATTTTTGTATTTCCCAGATGCATAGCAAATTTAGAATTTTGAGCTTCAGTCATAATGCACTTTCTCAATTCTGAACAATCTGGTACACAAAGCCTATCCTGAAATGTCAACACATTATTCTCATACACAAATCCCGGCCTTGGTTTAGAGTCAATTTCTTCAACAATCTTCTTCAGAAATTCATCTTCTAATTGCTTTTCTTTAACTTCCTCAATGATAGCTAGTTGTGCAGAAATGGTAGCTAGGACTCCACCTTGTTCACGCAACATAATTGCAATTTCACTTCTTTCTAAGTCACATAACAACTCTTTCTGGCCAATAAGCAATCATGACAAATTTCCAATGGATTTTCGGCTATTTGCCTTTCATGGCTGGTATAGAATCTGCAAGTTATAATCTTTAATCAACTCGAGCCATCTTCTTTGTCTCATCCTTAATTCTTTCTAAGTAAAGAAATATTTTAGGCTTTTATAGTCAGTATACACTTCACAGGTCACTCCATACAGATAATGGCGCCAGATTTTCAAGGCAAAAACCACAACTGTGAGCTCAAGGTCATGGGTTGGATAATTCTTTTCATAAGGGTGGAGTTGTCGTGAAGCATGTGCAATTACTTTCCCATTCTGCATTAATACACATCCCAACCCTTTGTACAATACATCATTGTAGATTTGGAATCCATCGGTACCATTAGGAAAAGTCAGAATTGGTGCAGCCACCAATCTAGTCTTCAATTCTTGAAAAGTGGATTCCCTCTGATTATTCCAATCATGTGGTACATTTTTCTGTGTCAACTATGTCAGTGGCATGGCAAGTTTGGAGAAATCTTTCATAAATCTTCTGTAGTAGCCAACAAACCCCAAAAAATTTCTAACTTCTGACACATTTGTTGCTCTTGGCCAATTCACAATGGCTTCAATTTTCGGCAGGTCAACTAATATGCCATCCTTATTGATTACATGCCCCAAAAACATTACACTATCCAGCCAGAATTCACATTTTGAGAGTTTTGCATATAATTTCTTTTCCCTCAGAATCTATAAAACAATTCTCAAATGACTTTCATGTTCTTCCCTGTTTCTAGAATAAATCAAAATATCATCAATAATACAACAACAAGCACATCAAGGAATTGTTTGAACACCCTATTCATTAGGTCCATGAATGCTGCAGGTGCATTAGTTACCCCAAATGGCATCACTAGAAACTTATAATGCCTATATCTAGTACAAAATGTAGTTTTCTCTATGTCTTCTGCCTTAACCTTTAATTGATGATACCCAGACCTAAGGTCAATTTTAGAAAATACTTGGGCTCCCTGGAGTTGATCGAACAAATCATCTATTCTAGGTAGTGGGTACTTGTTCTTCACAGTTACTTTATTCAATTCTCGATAATCAATATATAACCTCAAGGACTCATCTTTCTTTTTAACAAACAAAACTGGAGCACCCCAAGGTGAAGTACTCGAATGAATGAACTTATTATCTAACAGTTCTTGGAGTTAGACTTTTAATTCTTTCAGTTCAGATTTTGACATTCTATAAGGGTTTTGGAAATTGGTTGTGTTCTAAGCACTATATCAATGGTGAATTAAGTTTCTCTATCAATTAAGCCCCAGGGTAATTCATTAGGGAACACATCAAGGAATTCATTCACTACAGGGATATTCTTTATGTTCATACTATCAGCAAATGTAGCCAATACGCAACACAAATAACCCCGGCAACCCTTTCTCATCAGTTTATTACCTTTCATTGCAAAAATCAAATATGAGGAGGGGGGAACTACACCATTCCCAAGAAATACAAATTCAGGTAACCCCGGTGGTTGGAACACAACTAATTTAGCAACACAATCAATGGTAGCATGATATTTTGTCAACAAATCCATACCCAATATGCAGCCAAAATGATCTATATCCAATGGCAACAAATCAACATATGAAAGTGCTTCTCCAATTATAACATCACATGCAGGATACACATAAGCACATATCATAGAACCCTCCCCCCCCAAGATGGTATAGATACCGATAACAAGTAGTTCATAGTTTCTAAGGGTCTAGTCAATTTTCGAGAAAAAACATACAACAAAAATAAGTAAGTAGATCCAGAATCTATTAAGACAAATGCATTTTGAGCACAAAGAGGAAGTATACCTGACACCATAGAGTCGGTGTTCTGGACGTCCCCAGGTGCAAGTGCAAATACTCGGCCTTGTCTCAAACTTTCCTTTCCGGCGTTAGCTCTGGTATTAGTTCTTGGTGCAGGAGTGGATCCGGCTGAACTTGCCACATAACGGTTGGCATTTCTAGTTATGAGTGGGCAATCTTTCATCATATGGCCAATCTTGCCACATCGGAAGCAAGCACCAGATGCACGATAACAGACACCCTTATGTTTTCTTCCACATTCAGAACAAATAGGTGTAGATCCATTACTCTAACTTGAGACACTAGTAGACCCCGTGTTTTGCTTCTTGTTCATAGCAAATGAACGGCCCTTTCTAAAATTGTACCCAAATCTTTTGCCTTTCCATTCAGCTGTTGGAGCTTTCATTTGTTTCATCACAACTAAGTTAGCTTCTGTCATTAGGGCTTTATCAAGTACATCCACATATTTGGGCAATTTCAATACACCAATTCGATCAAACACATCTAGGTTCAACCCTCCTTCAAATTTTTGAGCTTTCTTATAATCCGTGTCCACCATATGAGGAGCAAATCAGGCTTAACTCAGTGAATTTAGCCTCATACTCGGCTACAGACATGTTGTCTTGCTTCAACTGCTCAAACTCTAACACTTTTCTGTCTCAGAAGCACTGAGGGAAGTATTTCTCATGGAATATTTCTTTAAATTGATCCCAGGTTATGGGTCCATTGTCATGTCAAATAAGCATCCACCAACAACGAGCTTATTCCTTTAGAGTATAAGTAGCCAATAGTACTTTCTAAGTTCAGAGCACGGAAACACTTCAAATAACTTCTTAGTCTCTGACATCCATGTCTTGGCTTTTAGTGGCTCAATACCACCCAGAAAAGTTGGTGGTTTCATCTTGTAAAATTTCTGAGTCAAACTGAGAATGTCATTATTGACCGGCTCTACATGGACCGGAGGGGGCGAAGGAGGCAGAGGCTGTTGTCCTTGTTATTGTCTTAGTGATTCTATTAGGGCCTCTAACATCCATTCCATGCAGTTCATTCGGGCCTCAGAAGATTCAGTTGTACCATCACTTCTTGTATTTTCCATTTTCTATAGGTAAACAGAGCACTAATAAACACAGGAATAATCTTTTCACAGTATTCAATTTCAGTTCATTTCATTTCAGTATCAATGTATCTTGGTTCAAATATGCTCACATGATGTCACACACACACTCACACATGTAGATGTCATGTCCCCAATTCCTTTCTAGGACATCCTATAGCTCATATGGACTCATGTGTGCGGTATAACTCGTGTTCTGATACCACTCTGTCGTGACCCAAACCCGCCCCTATAGGTTTAGTGTTGTAACCGGCCAACAATCTTGGGATTACCAAAGGCCTCTAGACAAATTAAACAAAATAGAGGGGCTAGCGGAAGCAAATACCAACAAATAATGTCCATGGAGTTGTCTAGACATACATGGGACAAAAAATTTAAAACTTAATTTACATAATTAAGATGTCTTACCCACGTCACCATCTATACATACAGACAAACAAAAGACATGTTCAAACTTAACAAAAGAAATACAAAAAGATCTTTAACATGGTTCTCAAAAACTTGACCACTGCAAAATGAGAACCTCCTCGGGAGGCACTGTTGTTGACTGACAGAATGGAACTCCAGGCAATCAACTCTGAGCCTAATCACGCACCTGGTCACCTACAATCATAAATAATATGGTGACCTGGGGCCTAGTGAATAACAACAAAGTAAAGGGTTTATGAATAATGTCCAAGTAGTTTTAGAAATCATAATTCATATCATAAACAAATTCAAATTCAGAGTCACTTAACCAAAAGTAATAAGCAGTTATATGTGCTATATCCACTAGCTATCATATCAAATTGGTCCTAAGACCCACATGCATAGTCAGTATTGACAACCATAAAGGTCCATATCTTGCACGCAAGTAGCCATGGTATTGTATCACCCAGGCAAAGACCATGTGAACATAGACCACGGTATTGTTTTTCCCCAGGCAAGGGCCATATAATCATAAGCCACGATATTGTTTCCCCTGGGCGAGAGCCATATGCATATTGGCTAGGGTATTGTTTCCCCTGAGTGAGGGCCATGTGAACTGAGGATGCCATAAATACATTTCAAAAAAATGGACATTCATTCATGATTCATAAATAGCATTTCAGAAAACAGATCATATCATTTCAGTTAAAAAGTACTTATAGTCAAACATAGGTTTACAAAGTTGTTACTCACAGATAGCTTTGGTAGCAGAATAGTCATAACAGTCAGATCAAATAATCTATGGTGCGTGACCTACACAAACACATAGTGGATACACATTGAAACACACGCTCAGAAAACACTTAACCCATTTCTTTTCTATCTTGGTGTGTTTCTAAACCTTATCCTCATTATTATGTCTTAATTAGGGCTTAGGAATGTCTAAGATGCAATGAGGGTGCCAAAATGTGATTTGAAACACTTAGTCAAATTTGTTGAAAACAGGGTCTTTGCTCGAGCACAACTTTGGCCGCTCGAGCGATTTGCAAAACTCTACAAAACTTCTAGGAGCTTTCATTTTATGCTCGAGTGCAACTTCCTACGCTCGAGCAGAGGATCAAAAATAAGGGTGGTCGCTCGAGCGCAGGTTCTCCAGCTCGAGCCAACCCCCAAACTCTACAAAAGTACTGGGAGCTCACATTCTTCACTCGAGCGCAGACTCCACCACTCGAGCGAAGAGTGCGAATTCTGCAATTTCCAAATTGCACTCCCAGCTTCAAAACTCAAATTCAAAGTGTCAAAACACATTTTTTGGGCCCAAAACTTGAGAAAAATATGTCTAAACTTGTAATACATCAAGGATTAAAGATCATTTCACAAAATCAAGGCCCAAAGGCAAGTGAATTGTTCAAAGTCAAACTTGAAATTTTGAAAACATAACATTCATGTAATGATATGTGCTTTAACCTTTCAAAACAAGATCAATTGAGATGTTTGGTAAAAAAAAACATGTTGAATTCTTAAAACATAGCAAAGATAAGGTGATGCATGTGAAAATTCTCGTAAAACAACTTCAAAACTCCAATATACATACATGCATGCATGTATTAGCTTCCAATTCTCGTAAGAAAACTTAATTCTTGCATTAATCAACTTAATTCTCTTGAATGCATGTGTTAAGTGACTCATTTACAAAACTAAAGGCTTGAATTTTTACCTTAAGTGTTCAATTCGGCTCTAAATAACCAATTCTTAGAGTCACCAAGCTAATTTCTCCAAATTTCCTAGCCAAACTCCCTTCTCTAGCTTTGAACTCAATTGTCTTCCTTCTCTCTCTTTCTCTCTCTCTCTCTTACATATATGAGTTCAAAAAAATGAATAGAAAATGTTGTTGAGTCACCATTGGCCTTATATAGGCCTAATTACAAAGCCTTAATTAATTCTTAATTAAG